AGCTTCATGAATCGAAGCGCCCAACATTGTAAGACGCTTACTGTTTTGAAATCGTAATTTTTTTACTTTTTTGTGTTGGAGATAAAAATTATTTGTCACTTCAATAGGAAATAATTGAGAATTAATGATTTTGTGCTAAAATTCGTGCTAATCGTACTAAACTATAAGCTTTTATGCAATATTTTACTGCAGAAATATTCGCGGAAGTGTATCATTGAGAAAGAACGGCCAGAACATGTGTAATGTGTGGTATGTGTGTGCCACAAGGGCTTATGCAGGGCGCGGTAGTGTGCAGAAGTGGAGTCGTCGTGTATTCGTTTCGACATGTCGAAACGATTACTCTACTAAGATTAGGTGCGGAGTCCCTAATATTACGTTCAAATTGGCCCCATTTAACTTGTTAAAAGAATATAAGCTTTTTGTAAAACACAATCGTCCACATTGAACATTTGGAGTTAACTTTGACTGTTATTTGATTTCAAATAAAAATAAATAAAAATATATTCAAAATCAAGTTTTTGTGTTTCAATTTGTTTTGGGCGAAAGTCTGCTTCATGATATTAACGCATACGGATTACTTAGAGACTTCAAAATTTTTAGTTCGTATGCACTCTGCGTACGATGAGTCCTGATGGGAAATAAATAATTACGGCCTTGGCCTCTTTTTTGGCGGGCAGACTGCATACAATTTTGATACTTTTTGATAGTTTTTAATTTTTAATATTTTTGAGAATATACATTTTTTTAGCCTTCGCGTGTCAAATGAGAGCTTTTGGCTCTTTCTGATTGGCTGAAGCAGAAAGCTTTCTGATACAACTCTGCGCTGAACTGGTTTTCAAACGAGTTAAATAATTTAACTAGTTCAATTTTCCAACAACAATTGCGTGCGATTTAACTTGTTTATCAACATGTTTTGTTCATTTAACTGATTCAAGCTCATTTAATATTTTCAACTCGACAAGTTGAACATAGTATAAGGCTTCATTGATGCAATGTTTTGTGAAACACGTTTAAAAACGCGTTTTCTTTTCTGATATCAATAAATCTAAAAATTGGGTAGCTGGTGAAGTAAATAATTTGAAAATATAAATTAATTAGCATGGAGAAACCTGCTGAATTATATGACAAAGGTCGAATTCTAGTGAAAGCTTCTATTGAAGAGCGAGACCAGGATATTTGGCAATGTGGCTAAATGAGTTCGACCGTTCCCCCGTTTTCGACCGTGAATGGCTCCGTGGAATAGGAGCAACCCTGCCTAATCGCCCACTCACCACGGCCCGTTCCACCCACGTACACATAATACACGTACACACACACATATACACATGAATTGTACTTACACATACACACACACATGAATTACAACATAACATGAAACAAAGCACAATTTTGCGAATGTCAGATCGACCAGACGTGTTCTGCGCTATAACCCCGCTAACGCAAATTTAATGAAGTGTGTTAATATTCCCACCAAAAGGTTCGACGGGTTTATTTAAAAAAAAAAGGTTCGAAGCTAGTGGTGAGTGTGCCCCCCAAAGTGTTTGCCCTTGGTGTACGACTGTTCATGGTCCTCCATCGCCTTACTGGACGGCACCTATAGAGAAACAAAAAAAATTAATAAACATAAAAAATATACTTTTACAATCCACAAATAAAAACCACAAACAAAGTTTAACAATTAAAAAATAAATAGGTATATTACTAAGTGAAAACTGAACGCAAAAGAAAATGTGTACTAATTTAACATTCAAAAAGTTCCATAGCTACCACATACTTAAATAAAAAGTGAAGAAGAGCGTACATACATACATTTATAAACTTTAACATTTTATTCCGGGCGCGTCGCGTAACACTTATATACACTAAAAACAATAATAATTTCACATTAAACATCGGTACAAAATCGGGCGCGAAATAATTTAATGTAAAAACATAATTCACCCAACAAAAACAACACTATAGAAGGAAGCACTTTATCGCAGTTAGGCTCAACGAGGGAAACACGCAACGAGGAGGAAGTAGCAGGATCAGGAGCTTGGGAACTATATCCTCAAATAATAACCCATAATTAAACCCATATACCCCCTACCGCCAAAGTGAGTTGTATCGAACCATTAAATTGAGATTTTACATACATATAAAAAAAAATAATTACCGATATTTACTGAAATTTTTCAAAACTATATACAGGGTGTCCCAGAAGTAACGTGCCAAACTTTAGGGGAAGGTATGTGGGGGGGTGAGCTCCCTGATAAACAAAAAATTTTCATGTAAAAGTGTCACCGTTTTTGAAATATTTACATTTTTTCGAATTTAAAAAAAATCGTGCCTTTTCATGTGTTTTCTTATACATTTACATACATAAATATACATATCGGCAAAAATTTACGGTTCCAAAAAAACGGTTTGAACAAAAAACAAAAAATCCGTATGTACATACATATATACGCACGAAAAACCCCTTAAATTTCTGCTTCAGCTTATTTTTCGTGTTTACCAAAGCCCAAAACATACCAAATTCAAGTATCTACTTGCAATAATTGCCCGGCAATACCCCTTTTGCTTGTACACATAGCAAGCAAAAGCAGGATTGCATACAAAATAAGCAGCAGAAATAAGACAGAACAATATCAACGAAACAAAAAATTTTTGCGCGAAAAAGATTGGCAAAACAAAGTAGAAAAGAAGTGGCAGTAAATACTGCATATTTATGTATGTAAACATATTATATTACAGCTTCTAAAACCCATAAATAGCAAATATCAAAAACACCTAAATATAATAGGCTGTCCTCCCAGCAACTGTACCACGAAGTAATACACATACGTACATACGTGGAGGTAAACAATTATACAAACGCTTATTAGCCCCGAATCTGCATCGAATTGCACATAAAGAAGCATATGTACATACGGTCATCTGCAACTCATAGCCCATTAGAGACAAAGTTTATTACTCCCTAAGCTAACAAATTACTCGTACATAACTATATACAAACGGGCATACATCGTAACGAAAGCAACGAAATTTTTCGTTAGTAAACAATGTGACATACATACACACTAACTAGTATTAGCCGCCCTCGCATTGCGTGCGAACATTAACATACGCACATACATATATACTCACATACCTACTAACCCAGTAGTGCATATACCTTTTACGACACACGTAAAGGAAAAATATTAATAAGCGTGGTAAAATTAAAATAATCGAATTAACGATTTAAATTGCGATAACTTAAAGAAACCTTGTTTATTAGGAAAAAAATATATATATACACCCAATCGGAAACAAATATAAAATTAATAAAAAAAAGAATAATGTAGAGAGTATTCCGGTACATTGTGTTAATATAAATAAAAGCAAGTCAAAATCCAATTGACGATACGGGAACTTGCTTATATTATTCGGGGTTAATTAAATACAGAGAAAAAAATAAAATAAATCTATATATTCTCGCATACTTAATGCCTTCTGATAAAACTCCAGTAAAGGAGCAAATAGTCAAAACCCCGATCCTTTTGAAAGTACCAACAATGGTTGATGAGGATAAAACTCAAGGCACACCTGCAGAAGCTACACGCTTGAAGCAGGGTGCAAAACAGAAAAAAACAAAAGTAAAAACCCAAAGTCTTGATAATTTTTGGACACGTCTCCAATCGGCTTACGGCGCCATAATTGAAACTGAAGATTCAGACTTACCTGAAAATTTTAAATCCTCGGCTTACTCCAAATACGAAAACTGCCTTGACCAATATGAAGAGACAAAAGCTATGATCTCCGATCAGCTCAAGTTATTAAACCCAGTTAGCGCACCTACTCCACCCCCGAGAGTAAAAGTAAGCCCAATTCAAGAGAAAAGCTCCGGCATATATCTCAAAGTGCCAGCATGTGACACGGAAACTTTCCATGGGGGTTATGAACAATGGCCGTCCTTCCGGGACATGTTTACAGCCGTATACATAAATCACCCAAAATTGTCACAAGCACAAAAACTGTACCACCTCAGGTACAAGACTAAAGGTCAAGCCGGCAGTATAGTGAAGCAATTCGCATTAAATGACGATAATTTCAATCTGGCTTGGGAAGCATTAAAGGAAAGATATGAAAACGAAAGAGTACTGGTTGATAAACAAGTAACGATTTTAATGAATCTACCGAAAATTCAAAAAGAAACGAGTGAAGAGTTTATTAAATTACAGTCCACTGTCTCAAACTGTCTATCAGTCTTATCCACTCAAAATATTCCCACAGATAACTGGGACCCTATTCTGGTAAATATTTTCGCCGCAACTTTACCAGAAAAATTTATGGGAGCAATCGCTCTCATCCCGTAAAAAATGCCCGACGTGGCAACAAATGAAAGATTTTCTAACTACCCAGTACGAAATCGCGGAGAGGGTAGATACAAAAATTACAAAAGCCAAAAATACACAAAATGATCTACTTAGAAGCTTCATGAAACCCCAAGCCAGCAATCACAATTCACATAATAGAAGCTTCAATAGATCGCAAACATTTATGAACGAAAATAAACATACGTTATGCGAATTTTGTAAAGGAGGTCACCCATTAAGATCTTGCGAGAAGTTTAAAAAAACTTACGACGACCGAAAGATATAACGTCGTCAGAAACAATAGGCTTTGCACAAATTCCTTCTCACACGCAAAAAGACTGTGAGAGTAAATTTAATTGTGTATATTGCCAAAAGCGGCATCACTCGATGCTCCATATTAATAATTTTACCCCCCAAAATAGCTCTAACTCACAAAGAGCCACAGGGCTAGTTGCAACAGCTAGACCCGAAAATCTCGAAATCCAACCCGAGAAACCATGCTGTTCAAAAACAGCAAATATACAAGCGCTTCATTCTGAAAATGAAAGCAAAATTTTACTGCCAACCGCGTATGTCTCGATTGAACATCGAGGAGAATTATTTAAGCTTAGAGCTCTAATCGATCAAGGCTCTCAAAGATCGTTTATCTCATCGAAAGCACAAAACCGATTAAAACTCCCTACCACAAGCTCAAACTTTGAAATTTCGGGAATGGGTGGAAGAGTAATACAAAACTCTAATAAAATCTGC